TAAGCTGCCGTTCATTACAAATAGCATCAGGGTTCAAGATGTCTTGATGCCAACCCCCGAATGTAGTGCCCAACAGTTGATTGAAGTATACAATACATAAGAATATTCTGTTATTCTTAACCATTTTGTTGTCAATAGTTTTGGCGTTAAATAGATTACGGATTTCTGTCACAGAATTGTCGTCGGACTTCAGGATATTATTAATGACATTAAGATTACAGTTTCTGTTGGAAATGCTTTTAAGTTGTGTTTTGCGTGAATTTTGTCTCATTATTGAATAATATTTACATATATCCTGAGAAAATTACAGAATATTTAATATTAAATTTATATTTGTTTACATATAATATTGAGCTCATATGACTATGTTTAAAAATAATTTTTATTTCTAAGACTTATATTAATTTAGCATTATTCATTATAAGATTTATTGATTTTTTAGAAGTAATTAGTGATGTATTTCAGTGCCAAGGTAGTATGAAATCAATTTTAATTTACATTAATTATTGAATAAAATTTATGTATTTTAATTATATTGTTTATGAATAAATATATTGTAAAATTAAAAATATATTAAATTTGTTATTAAATTATTAACATAAATACATGATGTTCATTTATTGTTTCAAAATACCCTGATCATACATGTTTTATTATTCGTAATAATAAAGTTGGCATTAATCTATATTTTATTGATTTTGATTTGAAATAATAAAGATATTTTCCATAATGTACTTAAAATGTATGAAATCTTAATAACATTAATAAGAAATAATACAAAAAATAAATTATATTAAATAAACCTGAACTGTTATAGAAATTGTAAATGCAGTAAAATTATATAAATTTATTGATGTTATATCCCGATACATTAGGGTCGGCAATATTTGGCGTTTTTGTAGTTCGAATCCGACCAGAAAATAAAAAAAATAAGAAAATAATATTTTGTCAAAAAATCTAAACAGGGAAATTTTGTTTTTAAGCTTAATACACTATAATATACTGGATCATTCAATTAGTACTGTAATTACAAAAATAGAATAAAATCAAAACTTTTATTAATCTCCCTGAAATAAATTGCTTGAATAAACAAAATATATTTAAAGCAGCGTTTGCTAGCGCCTTTTAATATTTAAATTTCATAAGACATTATTGATTTCAGTCGTATAGATTATCAGTAGATAAAGTATTTTATAGTCGTAAATATCATTACTATTTTTTCTATCTTTATAATCACCGGTTCATTATATATTTATAGATATATTTTTGTTTTTAGACATTTCAATTAAACATAAGGTATTTAATATATTACAGTTTGAAAAATAATTTTGTATATAGCAAATAAATATTTTTATTTTATTACAGTTTATAAAATAGTTAAAATTTTAACATTATTTTAGCCTTAAATATGTTACAAAAAAATTGCCAATTTTAAGAATTACAGTTTATAACTAATATTTTTATTTAATTTTATACTCATCCACTCTATTCTGTAACTATGTTTGTGAACCGATTTCCTATGGGCCAATAAAAATGTACTACAAAAGTGGCTAGCTAACCACTTTTGGAACAGTATGATTTAAAGGCTTATTTGGTGAAATAATAGTAAATTTATTTTACAAAGCTTTTTTCTACAGAGTTTACGGGTGACGCCAATGTAAATAAGTTTCATAATTAATCGGTTTGTATGAGAATTATAGCATAAGTGCACGAAATGTTTAAAATAGTGAAAAACATTTCAGTATTTATGCGGAAAATATCGGCGGCTTTAAAGACCAACCGTTTGCGGGCTATGAATAAAACCAAATCTAACTTCTGTTTATCGGCAGCACTGGTAGTTTGGATGCCATTAGCACCGGTCCCGGCAACCCTGGACTCCGTGGCCAGACATAGCTCGTCAGCGGCGGTGACAATACGTTGAGAGCACTGGCAGGTTATGAACAGATCGGACAGTATAGTCAGAAGCTGTAAACCGAGGCTTATGGTGATAATGGGATTAAATGGATCCTGGTTTAAATTCTGAGCAAAACTGAATATCAGTGTCGAGGTGTAGATCCCGGTGTAACAGATCTTTACAAACAGGGCATACGTAATGACTGATGATATCTCATGGATTGAGTCCCGGAGGTCGACCACCGCATGGCATATATGCCCCACATTTTTAGCGTCCATTTGTTTCATATGATAGGTCTGTTCGCGGATTTTCACGACATATAAGTCCGATATAATCATGAATAGGACTGTTATGCAACTCATGGTGACACTGCTCATGAACCCGATTATAAAGTTCATGGATACCGATCCTATGTATGCCAGTGATGTCCACTGTAACAAATTAAGTATTTTAAATAATTTTTAAGTACTAGTATATATTATAGACATAAATCATCTACTGGATAAGCTTGTATGTTACATAATATTATGCAAATAGTGAAGGACTACTTACATCTTGATCAATCCATTTATCGTGTGACCAATCAATTAATGCAATAGACAATCCCAATAAGAAGCTCATATAAATGACCAAGGATATCATAAGTTTGTAATGAATTTTGGTATCATTACTTTTGCTATCAAACAGCCTGGTAATTGCCTCAATCAATTGTTGGCCATTAATAAGAAGTATAAACTTAAGGACAAAGAATGTAAACACCATAGAAAACCCGGCTAACCCAACTAACCCCTGGCTAACTATGCTCCGGGATTGTATGTATAACATACGTTCCGCCAATAGCACCGAGGTCCTTTGCAAGGTGTATGAAGTTATAACAAATACAAGTAATTCATACATAAGCAGGGTGTATCGTTTGCGTTTTGAGTATTTAACCTGGGATTCATAATCAATAGCATCGGGGATAGGAGTGTTTTGATGCCAGCCCCCAAATGTAGTGCCCAGCAGTTGGTTAAAGTATACGAGCGATAAGAATATTCTGTTATTCTTAAGCATTTTGTTGTCAATAGTTTTGGCGTTAAATAGATTCTGTATTTCTGTCACAGAATTGTCGCCAGACTTTAGGATATTATTAATGACATTAAGATTACAGTCTTTTGTGGAAATGTTTTGAACTTTAGATTTGCGTGAATTCTGTCTCATATTTGCATAATATTTACATAAAATATATTTTGAATGTAATAATAGAGAAGCTTTTATTTAACTTATGTTTTGTTTGCATTAAGAATTGCAATCTATGATTATATCTAAAAATAATTTTTATTGTTGGAACTTATATTAAAATCGTATATATTGATTTTTATAAGTAATTAGTGCTTCATGGTAGCACCAAGGTGCTAAAAAATGCTTATAAGAATTGTATTTATAAATTGAAATGCTATCAAATCATAGCTTGTTAATTTTGAATATAAATAAATAAATATATTGTATACTTGATAAAATAGAATAAATCCCTTACAATTTAAGTTTCTTATATTTATGTACTTATACCTTGGTCATTAATATTTTTAATATACCTAATAATGATATTATAAAACGAGATCATTATGATATTGATTTTGAATTACAATAAATATGTCAAAAACATTTGTGCATAAAATTATATTTTGAAATAATATAAGAAATATAATATAAATATTTTGTAAACAACAATTTTAAATCTATTTTTATTACTTAACAATTAAATGCTTGAATTATTATTTATTTGAAAGGTAACAATAATTTTATAAATGAAATATTTATATGCACCATTTTATTAGGCTATATCACACTACAATACAAGTAGACAATGTTTATAGAAAAGTTATTTTAACATTATTTTAAGTAGTTTAATACAATATAAGCTGGTATATAAAATTTTGGGACACTTTTACTATACTGTATTATTATATAACAATTTTTAATTATTCCACACTTTAATTGTAAAATTTGAATTCAATATATTACGAAATAGCACATGATTAATTAAATTAGAAATTACTATATATGCGATACACACAATATATCCACCATACACTTCGGGTTTGGTGTAGTCCCAGCCCCGGTACATAATATATCGTATTGAATGAACAGGCTCGGTTACCGGGGCTATTTTTGTTATCATTTGAAAATAATATGGCATTGCTTGTAATGGCCATATGGCACCCGATATCATTATCAATGGAATTATTAATCCCATTATAAAAATCTAAAAATATATTATAGAAATTAATTAGATTATTTTATGGCAATTAACTTAAATGTATAATGTTGAATATTTTGTAATTTTATAAAGTAGGTAACATAATTATTTGAAGGGCTCAATAATTTTATTATATTTTTAATATAATATTGGTAAAGTGATTAATTAATTAAAATTATAAATTTTGTTAAATTTTGGAAAGAAAATTAAGTTATTTAAATATTTACATTATGCTGTAACAATATAAAACAATCATCAACTTCACTTACGGCTACTGTAGTCATATCGGCGAATAACAAGGACAACATTAGGCCCATTGAAATTCCCGATATATTTTGTAATAGTATCAAGATGAAAACTTCGACTAAACTACCACGTTGATTTACGCTGAACAGCACAAATATAATCACCATGCTCAATAGTGTTTGTACAAGACCCGCCAAAATAGTGACTGTCATGTGTGCCAAAAAATATTCGGTAGGCCTCACCCCGGCTATGAATATCCTTTCAATAGAGTTACTTGATTTGTCCGATACAAGTAATGAGCTTGATAATATCATAGACAAAACATGAGCAATTATAATTAGCAACGGGGCTCCGGTGCTGTCGAAACTACTAAGCAAGTTGGCTAGATTTCCGTATATGACCTCGTTCACTTGAATCGGATTAGTTAGTTGAATAAGATTTGTTTTGTTCAAATTATTGCCCAGTTTTTCGATGAACTTGTTAAAACCAACGATTAGGTATTTCGATAAAAATGTGCTGATGAAAAAATCTATAAAGAATCCATGATCAATTAGTTAGTATAAAATAATTTTAAATGATTATAGTTGATTAAACAAAAACAAATTGTTACATGTTAGTCTCTCATTGAAACTCTTAGAAATATATTTAATTAATATGTAATAACTTGTAATTTTAATTTAAACTACTCTAGTTACTTTTTTGCTAATACCACCAGCCACTAATGTAATAATTAATGCATACAACTACAAAAAAAGTGTTAAGGATCATTAAAAAATATATACTTGTGTTATCCACGTATAAATGTATTAAACTTTGTTCAATATCCTGGTCATCGGCCCCAAACACATCGGTCACCCGCGACTCGAAAGCTTCCGAAAAGTTGTGTCGAAACTCAACGGCCATATGATTAACCCCTTTGCGCACCGACTCGACCGCACTATACCTGTCCTTATAATCCCTAAAACTAATCCTATTCACATCGATAGCCTGGACAAACATCCGGGACAAATTTTGTGGGCATTCATCACCATTATACAGGGCAACGGGTAACCGATTAACATCCCGGTCAAATAGCAAGTTCCATGTTAAAAGGGTCAGCGCCGTTACAAAGTAATAACTGGCCAGGGACATAGGTCGACGTTTAGTTAGTACCCAGTATTTCACTAATAATGCCTTAACACGGGTCAGGTCTACAGCGAGGGACAGCCTATTATTTGTCGGTAAATTGACGTCATTTGTATCGACAGTTTGTGTCCTATTTTCTGTTTGCGGTGTAATTTTTGTCTGATTTTTGCTATCATAGGATTGGCATAACTGTAGGAAAACCTCCTCAAGTGTCGGACACTGGTATTCAGCCATTAGTAGGTCGGGCGCCGACTGTTTCAATATAGTGCCGGCGCTCATGAACGCCACGTTATGAGCACTGCGGGCCTCCTCTATGTAATGCGTGGTTATGAGCACTGTTTGATCTATAAATAGAAACATGGTTAATTAAAAACTGATAATAAAAATTTTAAATTCAAATCTATATACTTAACATAATTAAATCTATCATGTTACTAAGTCATTAGTTGAAAATTAGTGCATACCTTAGATCTAATAAAATATATAACGTATTTTAACCCTGCTGTTCAGGGAATGTAATTGTATGAACTGTACGATAAAATTGTACGTTTTAAATACTGGATCGTTAACTAGTAAGTAGCATTAAACACATTGTAGTTATTTACAATTTTTAAAAATATCAACCGTTTACTGTATATATGTGTGCAAAACAGTCTACTCTCGCCGGTATTCCCAGGTGGTGTCCCTCCCAAGTACTAACCGGGCTCTCGGCTGCTTAACACAGGGGATCGACCAGAACCGGTGCTTTCCAAGTGATATGGCCGTAGAGGGCGTAGACATCATACTAGGCTTCCCTACTCAACTACATTGCTGTGAATCGCTATGTTAGGGCCTATGCTCATGTGCTAACTCAATACAGTATTTGGATGGAAAGCATACGAATAAAGTCTAGTAGGGAAGCCTAGTATGATGTCTACGCCCTCTACGGCCATATCACTTGGAAAGCACCGGTTCTGTTCGATCCCCTGTGTTAAGCAGCCGAGAGCCCGGTTAGTACTTGGGAGGGACACCACCTGGGAATACCGGCGAGAGTACTTTTTTGCTCATTTTTATATGGTGAGTAAACAACTAACCTAAACAACCGTAACGCGATGTACAAGGTAATAGTTTTTTTTAATAAACTTACAGAATATATATCATTGAATTTTTTAAAAATATTTATATTTCATATAATTACCATTTGTTTGGCACAAGTTCTCTAAATATCTCCATATCTTATGCCTTAATAGGGAGTCGACCCCAACCGTAGGCTCATCCAGTATTATAAGCCTCGGGCTGTGGATCATAGTCATGGCTATAGACACCCGGCGCTGTTGACCACCGCTTAACTCGCTTATAATCCGCGTCTTTTTCGGTAAACTCAATAAATCGCTTAAATCCTTGATTTTGTCATCAATTTCCGTGCGTTTCATATGATATATAGTGCCGTAATATACGAGTATCTCCTCAATGGTGAGCCCGTCCAACAGTGCCAACTCCTGAGGCATGTATCCCACACCCGGGCCAGGTATGTCTGAGCCTCCAGAACCTGGAGGTACACCGAATATGCTGATGGAGCCACTGTGTAATTGTAGCCCACCTAATATGACCCGGATAAGTGTGGTTTTGCCAACACCGTTAGCCCCCAATACTGCAAATATTTTGCCTACATAATAGATATTTAAATATTATTAACATTTTTAATTATAATTAAAATTTCCACAAACATCGTATGATAATCTATATCATTGCATGTTTTAATAATAAAAGTATTATTTTAAACATAAAATTAGTGAAAATAATGCTTAATTGCACATGTTTATTTAAATGACAGCAATTGAATGTAAATATAATTTCTACTTGTGAATTAATTAACTGTATTTACCTTTAGGTATAAACATGGACAATTGATTAAGGACGTTGGCACGTTTTTTATATTTAAATACTGCATTGTTAACATGTATAGCCAATGTTTCTGCACTAGTATTATACATTTTAATTTTTCAAACTTATTGTATTTTGACTTCAATACAACAAAATTAATAACAATTGTGAAGCTGTCTACGTAGTTTAATGATATTATCCGTTAACATGTTTGGTAGCAAGCTCCTCCCATACATGTTTTCATGAGAAAATAAATTTGTTTGAATTAAAATAATTATCATTAAAACTAAATTGTCGCAATATCCTTGACAATTGTCAATGTTATTGCATTAATTTAGACGGTTTGCAGAATTTAATGCTAATTTTGTAAGATAACATCTTTATAATACTATAACATTTTATTAAATCTAGTTATTATCTGAAACCTTAGGCATTTTAAGTGTAAACTTGTTTTTAAGATTATTTTCATTTGACAAATTTTCATAACTGTTTTATTTTTATATGAATAAATAATTATTACTGAATTTTAGATAAAAATAAGTGATAAATACAAATTGTGAAAGTTTGTTTTTAAAAAAACTGAATGCTAATTAGCATATGGTGCGAACCACTACTTCCCGGTCTTATTCATTTCTATAGAGATAGTTATTGTCTAGATGAAACATAATATATAAAGATCTTCAATTAAATCCGAGATGAAAGATTGTTTAATAACTCGCTTATTACTTGTACTTAAAATCTATTCTCCGGTACACTTAGAGTTCATTATGAGGTAGTAATGATAAAATAAGAATAT